TTATTAACAGAGCTTGTGTACTCAGACCAGTAATATTTGGGGTCACAAGTTTTTGCCATGGATATTTTGTGGGTCAGAAGACAAAAGTTTGGGAACCACTGCTTTAAATAGTTTTATTTATTTAATTAGGAGTGGTGTGTTTTAATTGTATCTCGTAAGAAGCTCTCAGAATTGCTCAAATCCAGAGGTTTATAGTAACTAAGTACATTTGCTTTGTTACAGTACGTAAGGAATTTTTTTGAGGATTTGTAATTTCACCAAGTATTTTTTTAAATCGTCAACTTTACTTTCAATTTGTTACATTTAACACCTAAAAAGAACTAAAAAGTACTTCATAGACATCTGGTCAAATCTAATCTGGTAAGTAAGACTGAGCTTTAAAGTGCCTGCGACATCAAATTTTTGCAATAAATATGAATGTATTTTTGGAAAGATAACATTGGTAATGTATTGTAAAAGAGATTTAACGCTGCTGAGATGAACAGTTGTTGAGATATTTGCATGTGAAGTAACAGGAAGTGATGTCAAAGGGGAATATCCGAATGTAAACACAGCGTTGCTAAAATGACTGTAGAGAAGAATCTGATGTTTCTTTAGATTATTTTAATCACTATCAGAGAGAGATGAGAGAGTCGGCRTTCAAATAATATTGTTTAAATAAACAAAAAACAGGGAGTTTTCTTTCTCAAAGAGTCCCTCTTTGATGTCACTTCCTGTTTCKMTTTAGCTGAGCCAAGTTCAAAAGAAAATCTGCAAATTATGTGACATAATGGGTAAAATCATGTGTATTATGCCAAGTTTCTTCAATATAAATATATTTTCTTTGACCTTTTTGTATTTCATGGATATGCACAGACACTTTAACACRTGTCCAATTCCAAACCTATAGAGATGGAGTTTGACCTGGACAAGGCCCTGGAGGATGTTCCTATCCACCCGGAGGACTCTTCCACCTCCTCTCAGACTCCGCCCACTCCATCTGTGGCCACGCCCAAACAGGATCAGCGTCCRGCAGCGAGGATCGCAGAGCTGCCGTCCGAGGAGGAGAAGAAGCTGCAGCACTTCACCAAACTACGACCTCGGAGGAACAAAAAAACTCATTCTAGTAAAGTAGCTGTAAGTGAGCTCAGCTAAATTATACAACCGCTGTTCAGGACTCAGGCATTGATTTTGAAAATGTAGAACCAAGCAGTTCTGTACACTTTTCTCTCAGCAAATCAACAGCACTCCGTCTCATGATGGGGAGCAGAATGGCCTCATGGGAAGGGTGGATGAAGGAGTGGATGAGTTCTTCTCTAAAAAGGTCACCAAGATGAGTTCCAAGTAAGATTACAGTTGAAATTATCCAGTATAATCTGATTTAATAATGGGTTACTTTTTAGTTTTTGTTTAAACATCACAACAGTTTTATAACCTGTTTCTCCTGATGCCTCCTTGCAGACGTTCCTCAARGAGTTCAGAGTCTCAGGATGGAGAGAAGAAAAAGAGTAAAGGAGGGTTTCTGAACCTCATCAAACGATCCTCTAAATCAGACAAGTCTGATAAGWCAGAGAAAAACCAGGCAGCTCCATCATCCGGTGGTGCATCCTCTGTGGCTCCAGGATCCAACATCCCCGAGGAGCCCTCCTCTCCAAAGGGGCCAGTTAAGAGCCCAGCACCTGAACCAAAATCCAGGTAAAGAGGATACTTTTTGAGCTGTGTGCTCCACTCACCTCCATCCTAAATCCTCTCACAGTTGTCGTCTGGCCTCCTCCAGAGACGCCTCCACCCGCTCGCAGCACACCGACTACAGCAGCAGCTCCGACCGCTCCGAGGAGCTGAGGACGCCGGACTCCATGGACGAACCGTGGGACGGATCAGACGGGAGGGGGAGTCCTCAGGGTGGGAAGCGGTATCCCGGGGTRCAGATGATGGGCAGCGGCCTCCTGGCAGAGATGAAGGCCAAACAGGAGAGGAGAGCATACAAGGTAAAGGACGTCAGTTCCTCCAAAGATTCAGAAGACTTACAGACGAGAGCTGCGTCTCAGCTCAGGGGTTGCAGCCCACGTAGACYGCAGCTCACATRGGCCACACCCTCTGTGGGCCGTAGGCTGTGAAGTGAGATGGCCTAGTCTTCAAATGACACATTTGCATACTGCATTACCATGGTTATATATTTTATATCAAGTTCCTCCAATTGGAACACATCTTTTCATGAGAGGTATATCTTCACAAAATTCAGTGGTATTAAAAAAAATTTACACCTAAATTGATAAAAAACAATAATAAAGTATCAGTACTTTTAATTGCATTTTATTTAAAATCTTATTGCAGCCTAAATTTCTTCAGCTGAGTTGTTAAACATAAAAAAACAAATTATTTTGTGTTTTGTAATTAATACTTGGAGGGGAAACATTCTCTAAAAACAGCGTATTTTAAATTCTTACTTGAATTAATTATTTCCCAAATAAAAAAGAAAAGATAAAGAAGTGGATGTAAATGTTTGTTGCTGATTCAAAGCAGGTAAGGTTGAGCATGTTTAATCCTCTAAAGTAATTTACATTTAAAAATGTTGGAAAGAAATGACAATAAAAGTCTATTTCTATTAATCGATTTTTTAGCTGACAATCTAACATAAAACAGCAACAAAAACGTCTATATTCTCTACTGGCAGCACTTCCTGAGGGAGTTTAGAGTATATATTCTGATGAGGTGAAATGTTGGAAATATTTCACCTKCTAAATGTTCTCCTGGTCCCTCAGGTTCTCACAGCTTCTCTGACTGACGGGGGCGGCTGTGGCTGAGTGATYAGACACTGAACCCTCACTGCCTCTGATGTGTCCCATCAGTGTATGAATGTGATTGAAATCACTGATTAGTCTCTWTAGAATGATGTAATCTAGATTAGCTCTGTAGAGAGATATGTGGATGGGTAAATGAGGGCACACATTATTGTTTAAAGCACTTTGAGTTTCCTGGTTGAATAGAAAGGTAACATACGAATAGTCCATTTACGAAGATGTCCTTGTTTCTTTTCCTCCACAAAATCAAAAGTAATGCATCATTTTACTTTGTAAACCCATAAACAAAGGTTTGAATAAGATCTGTTTACTTTTGTGGCATCTTCAGTGAGTTTTTATTCTCTTTTGTTCTTTAAATTMTAACGTATTTCCTGTAGTCTGTGTGCTCTGAGGGCTTTGTAGTGTTTGCAGCATTTAAAGATTCTTTTGTACTTAGCATAAATCTGCTTTCACCATTTGTTTGTTCTGACGTGTTTGTGCTTGTGAAAGAGTTTTAGTGTTTTCTGATACTGATGCACAATACTTAAACTATTTCTTCTTCTTCAGTCTTCCAGTCCTGATCGGCCTGACAGCAATGCAACAGGTAAACTGAAAAAAGTATATACWGTATATATTAGCAATGAAATGCTAGATGAACACTGTTACTGCAGGAAGGAGCTACGGTTCCAACTAACACAGAAACGTTTTGTTTTATCATTGGACAACTCCTGCTGTTCATAGCATTATATCAATTCTTTTTTATTATTGTGTTAGCAGCCAAGCCCCAGTCCRCAAACACAGACACCAGGTCTCCCAGTGGTTCCATCAACAGAGCCGACACCGCTCCTTCAGAAAAGACCTCAACACGGGTGGAAACAAAACCAGAACCAGCCGCTCGTCTCAGAGCTGCGTCTTCCTCCAGTTCTCCTGCAGGACCAGTAAGTCCTAAACCACCGGTTCCACAGGGAGCGAAGCCTGCGCTGGCTGCTCGACCCAACATCCCACAGAAACCGAGGGCCAGCAGCAGCAGGAGCGTAGGTGGGCTGCTTGTTTACTTTCACCATATATGTGTTAAACACTTTATAAATTAAAATATCATAATGTGCTGTACTGAGGTGAGGGTATATGACACATACCTGTTTGCTGTTAATTTGATGAAATAGATGAGAGTTCGGATGCTCCCAGGGCCGGCTGTGTATCTCCCAAAGTTTTCCCCTCCACAGTGAAAAAGACGCTCTCAGAGAAAGACAAGGAGACCAACAAAACCACTCAGGAAGGTGGGTCACACAATCTGTGTAAAACCTGTGGAGTCTAGTTCTGTAATCAGATAGTGTTAATACTGTATCAAAGAGATAATTCAGACCTATTTAAAGTGAGGGTTTGTAGGAAGGTCAAAACAATAAATGTCTTACCTGTTGTAGATAGCGCTGAACAGCCTTAAGGCTGAGTTATACTTTCATTCTCATGTTCTGTGTGACAAAAATTGCGTAACTTTCGTCTGTTATCTCCCACCGACAACCCTGACTGCGCACACGTACGTTGTGATGATGTTCAAACGATATATGACGCAGCTTCAAACTTTTTTTATTGTTCTCATTTGCAGGGAAATCCATGTCCAACACTGTTCAGAGATCCAGCACCAACTCCAAGGATCAAAGCTCCCTCAAACTCAACAAGGACAAGTGTCCAAACCAAGACAAGGGAACAAGGAAGAAGTCATCAGACTCAGGGGAAGAGGCAGACAAGGACTTTATTCTAATATGATCCTTTTAACGAGCCTCACATTCCTCTTTAGAGTAGCAGGAATGTAACTATTATTTAATTTATATTAGAGTATGCATTAGCACGTCCTGTTCGACTTCAGAGTACAAAATTATATTTGATAAGTTGGACACTTGGTATGACTTAAACCAAAACTGTTTAATCTCACGAGAGCTTCCTTCTTACAAACAGAACAGCCTTTTCTCTCCATCAGCTGCCAGCCTTGTTCTTACTCACGTTTCTTACTAAAACCTCAGGGTTTGAGAAAATGCAGCGTCAGCAGGTTTGGTCAAGCTCACTCAGTCTGTAAACGAGAAATGACAAATGAAGTCCAGGTTTGACGAAAACACCAGAAAGACTGCGAACATGAGCGTAAATATAAAATCACTGTAACTAACAAACTGCTGTTTTTTTTAAATTTATTTTTATTTTTACTGTATGTAGCCATAGCCTGACACCCAGGGACCAAACACACAAATAGCCATTACAGCAGGATTACAACACTTGAAATCAAACATACCGGCAAAAAAAAAAGGACAATAGATTTTGACAATGTTCTATTTTCATTGGTGCGCAAGTTGTTGCTTTTTTAACCAGGCTTCTTAGATGACTGAATCAATTATGCAATTTTTATTTTTGACGCAGATATACGGTCTTCAGCTGAGAATCTCAGCACAAATATGAGAAAACTGAAGTTTTGAAGTTATTTTCCTGTCAGTGGAGCTAAAACCCACTGAGTGAACCGGAGTCTGTCTCTGTGTGAAAGCTGGAGTGACYATATGACGTGTTGCTGCTCCCAGAGGACTGTGGTACACCTTACTGAAAATCAATACGGCTTCAGGACTGTTAAAACATGCTCTGTTTAGACACTGTGAAGAAAAAAAACAGCCTTTTATGTTTATTTAGGCAGAGGGTCTGGACTTAAATTTAAAAAGCAATACAGAGTAATTGTACCTATTTTGGAGCACCTCCTTTTGATTCTGGTTGAATAAAGTTTCACTTATGTGATTGTTTTTTTTTTTWAACGAGGCACATTAAACGTCAGATTTAGTCTGAACTGCTCATCCTGTAGATTATTTGTGTTTAATACTCCTGTAGTGTGCTAACTGTCCAGTGATGACAAGGAACTCGCTCAAAAAGAGGCGGGAAGTCATGTGAGACTAAAGCTGCGTCAGTGGGTTTTTGTGTGTTAGCAGAACACTGAGGGGGACTCCAGCTTTTATACACTCCTCTTCCTCAATTCATACATTATATGTATGTATAATATATATATTTAAATGTAACTCTTTGACTCCTTTTCTCAGAGACTTTTTTTTAATTTTCCACCTGTGTTTAAAGTCGTGACATTAGGTGGTGAAACTGAAGGTAGCTGTCGTTTGGCTAAGTGGTTATTTTGTTTTACATCAGCGTGGCTCTGTAGTCAGTTCTGTTTTTTTTATTTGCTAAAGGAGATAAACGTCAGTTTTCACACTGCTGTACAGACAGAAACCTGATTCTCAAATTTATGTTGTGAAAAAAAAATGCCTATTATCAGTTTATAACCCAACTTTTGTTTGTTTTTCATCCAGTTGGACTCTTACAGCTTAGGATTGAAATTCTTAAATTCTGATTTCGTGTTGTAATTGAGTTATGTTGCATCCCAACCTTCAGGGTCTTTGATAAAAATAAAATAAAATCTAAAACCAGAAATGCACACTTCTCGTTACATAAATTCAATAATTTATAGACTGTTTGCAGTGTGGTCCTTTGTCATCTGCTAACAACTTCAAGAGTCTGTCGTAATCCGTTTGATCCCAAAATTTATTTTACAACTCTTGTGCCAAACTTTGCTCCATCACTACTGATAATTGTGCACTTTTTAATGGTTCCTAATGAGCCACAGCTTCTGTTCTCCTTTTGTTACAAAAGTCCAATTCAGATCAGGGTTGAAGGTCTTACTGGTGCACCTTGTCCTACACTGTGCTTTCTAACAGTGTCCTTTTATGAAGTGATTTCTTTTTCTTTGGATCAACCATAGTTTACAAAAAAAAAAAAAAAAAACCAAACAATAAAAACACTGTTCCTGCTGTTTCTAGTCTGTCTGTTCCTGATATTTACAACTGCTACATAACATTATGTCCNAAAAAAGAAGAAAAACGTTGGCTTCTGCTTTGCATGTTTAAATGAAATACACGTGTGCCGTGTTCTGTTGCCATGTCCCACTTTTCCTGATGAACGTACACTACTGTTTTCTGCTTTTTGTGGGAGATTAAAATTAACAGTTTGAGGTTTTGTTGCATCGTATCAAGACACTAAAAAAACACTTTTTTTCTGTCAGAGCTCAGTAGAAAGATAAAGTCCAGACCTGTGTGTCTGAGTGTGTTGACTGCATGATGTGGCTGTAAGCTGTACTGAATGTATATATGTGCTTTCTTACATGTAGGCGTGTGTGTTTATGGAACATGAGCACATGTGATGTATGCACTGTGATGGAATCACACGCCTATGTGAACGCAGCGAGTCCTCTGTTGGTTTAAGTGCACTACTTTAATAGGAGTCTAACTTATTTGAAATAAAGTCAGCTGGGGACGTTTGTTGGATCTAATCTCATTTGTACATTGTGTTCAGAAATGTACAAATTGTGTCTTTGTAACGGTTTATTACATGTAATCATTTGGTGTTACTTTACCCAGGTTTTTAAAAAGATGRCACGTAATGTACTGAACTTAGCTGGAGAAAAGATAGAAATGGCATTTTTGCCTGTTTTTTATTTTTAGTTTTGTTTTGTTGTCGTCCCCCCAGTCTTGTTTTGTCATGGGTCAGCACATTTCTCTAATCCTGGTGTCAGATTTTCATCATGCAACTATTAATACTGATTAAAATCCTTTTTCATGCTGTGACATGCTGCAGTGCGTTTGTCATATGATTTGTTCTGGATATATTCAAATCTGAACTCTGACTCTGATTTTCAGGTTCTTTAGTATAAACCAGGTGACATCTAACCCATCTGTCGTGTGGGGTCCATCAAGGTTTTGTTTTGGGCCCACTTCTATTCTTGCTCTGGACTAGAATAGAAGTTGACTGAGGTCAGGAAGCAGATTTAAAAGAGGGAAGCCTCTAAATTCATTCATAGCCTTTATGGTAAGTTGTTTTAAGTCAAGCATGTTTTGCTTGATTTACGGTAACTTATGTGGTACTGTTTCACCCACATTTACAGTATTTCATTCTAGGTGGCACAGCTTTGCTAGTATTTACAGTAATTCATTTTTGGTGGTGTAACTTTTTAAGTAACTGCCACTTCTGGCTTGGAATTTCCCTTTGTTTTTTGTTTTTTTTGTTTTTTTTTCTGCAGAGAGGAGCTGTCAGATCAGAACAGACTGTGGTGAGTGAAGAAAAGTCATAATGTCAAAATTTTTTTAATTATATGTATGAAATTTTTAATTTTTTTCTGGACCATTGCTAAGAACATTTCTTAGCTGAAGTTTAACTGAAAATTACAGTTTCCTTTTGATCAGAGTATTGATGACTTCCAGAGGAAGAGGCTTCCAGTGTGTGTGTGTGTGTGTGTGTGTGTGTGTGTGTG